ATAAAAACATTTAATTGTTAAAATTTTACTAAATTACTATATTGTTAACATTTTAACAATTCAATTGGTTAGACAAACTTTGATGATAATTTATTAAACCATTACAAATGGAATTGAGAAATTTAAACGGAAAACACAGAATTTTGGAAAAAATTAAATGAATTTCATAGAGCCTTATTCATCGGACCACAAACCCTAGTTATGCATCCATTTGATTACTAATGTTTTGATATTAAATTTGTATTAATTTCATAAATCATAGAATCCAAAAGAGATTTTTTTTTAATATAATATTCATTGTAAAAAATTTACAAAAAAAATTAATTAAACCATTAAAATGGAACCCAGAAAAGCTGAAAACATGGAACGGGTTGGCCGTTTGAAACAGTATCCAGTGTTGGCATTAATCGTTGCATCGCGATGCGGACGATGCTGCATCGGCGCAGTAATAGCCCGAAATCGATTATAGAGCACTGACGTTTCTCTGACGCGATTCGTCACATACGCGCTTCTCGCGCCAGCGTAAAACGGCGGAGGGAGGCGAAACACAAAAGCAAGTAATAAAAAAAAAAAATTCTGATTACACACAATTTGATTGCAGTTTCTGTACCTGAAAATCTTAAAACACGGTTTATTTCAATCGTATCTTTGTTCAGTTGTGTCTATTTGTTGCGATCGCTAATGTTTTATGTGTTCTTGTTTAATGACTGAGTGTTTATTGTGTGTAATAATGCTGGAAGTGTGTATTAGTTGGGCTAGGCTAGTTGTTCTTCTATGGTGTGTTTAAACCTCAGGCAAACGCTGCTTGTGTAAGTGTTCTTCAGCGGATGATTTCTGCTCATGATATTCAGCTGCAGTTTCAGCTTTAGCAATAACACTAGATGTGAACGATGTCTGAGGTTTATTTTTATCTTATTGGAATCGAAATTAGGAATCGATAAGAATCAAAATCGTTAAAATTCATACGATACCCAAGCCCTCTGACGCGGCAGGATTCCGATAATGAGGTTGTAACAACTGCAAAATGTGGTAAACATGAAGTGACACAGGTAGGAGCTAGCGCTGGTACCATACCTGCCGCTGCCGGTGCTGCTGGTGCTGCTAGCGGAGTCGGAGCTGGAGGACGGGCTGCGCGAGCGAGACCGCGGACCCGGAGACGCCGCCGCTCGCTTGGGCGAGTGCGCGGCTTTAGGCGTGTGTCCCGCGCTCCTCTGCGGCGACGGCTGCCGCGACTGCGACGACTGCGACGACCGGCTCCGCCGATGGTGATGGTACGTCCGGTCCGCGCGCCGGCCCCTGTCGTCACGGTACGGGTCGCGGCGAGCGGAACCAGACAGGGTGAAGGGGTCACGGATCCGAGGCTCAAAGTGAGACTCGGTGGCCTCGAAGCCTCCGCTAAGAGCGCTAGCAGCCGGGCTGGAGCCAGCGAACATGGTGCGGTCCCTGTAATAGTCCGTGTTGTAGTGGCGCGGCCGGTCGAAGGAGCCGCTGCGCTCGTGGTGTCCGTACGGACTGTGCTCGTACGCCCGCTCCCGTCCGTCAGAACCGCTGCTGTGAGAGAGACAGGAAAGAGACACGACAGAAAGAGGAACACACACACTTAGCTTCCGGCTGGATCATTCTCACACAGCTAACTCATCGTATAAATCTAACGGGTTGGTTGAGCCACGGTTTAAATCCGAGCTACACTGAGGCTCTAGCGCTGCTGGAAATGGACTTCTACACCAATCATGCAGTGTTTCTATCCGACTCATGGACCATGCTGGCTATCTGGCTCTGAGCGCCGCGGGGAAATCAAAGGGTTAACAATAACACAAGGCTCTAGGGTTAGTAAAGAACAGGGGTTAAGAGACTATGTGTCTAGGTTAGAGAGAGAGAAAGCACAGAGAGGCGTAAGGCAGGGCAATACCAACCTTTTCAGAGCAGTAACTGACCCTACTTATTCCCAATACAATATAGGAGGAATTGTGTGTGAGCCAAAAACAGCGACGGCGGAAAGCGGTCGAAAGAAGCGGATCGGATCCCACTATGCGATCTTCATCCAATCAGGGCTGCGCCGCTTATCCGTACGCCGTCTTGATGCGTTTAACAAAAATAATATTTAAGAAAAACAAATAAAGTCTTTATCAATAAAAAAACAAGAAACAATCTTCTTGTGAGGAAAAACATAGCTTTCCACTGGTGAGGAATAATCCGAACGGCGCACACAAAAAAACAAACGGTGCGTAATTCCAGCGCATTTACTTCCTCCGAACGGCAGCGGTGGGACTTGGCGAACTCTTCTCCCGTACATCCACTCGAGATCAGGTAATCCAGTTCGGCCTACACCTATACATCCAGCATGAGGTTAGATCCAACAATCGGGAAGCGGGAATCTTCCCGGCACGTCTTCTGGTCTTCGAAGCTTGGCGGAAACATCCCAGCGCGAGCGACGAGCGTTAGCGGCCCTCTCTAACGAATGACGTGCGGTGACACGGAGGATGAGATGATGAACCCTGACACACTTACTCCACACGCGACGGGCGGCTCCTCCTAAATCCACGGCAGTGATACACATCCATGACAGACAGTAGCACAATGACCAGATGGGTGATGGGATACTCGTGCAAGGCAAATGACAACTGACAAAAAGGTTTTGCGATATCTCTACTTCCCTCGTTAAAAATCTTGTTTAATCCGTCGTCGGCACATACTTCCACACAGCGCCATCCGAGGAATCGTAATATCCCAGATTTGGAGGACGCCTAATATCCAAACTCACCCGTTACGTCTCCGCCGGACTTCGTAATATCCACGTGGGTGATATCCAGCTCATGGCTCACACAGTAATCCCACATTTTGATTTTGAACACACCAATCTAATCCACTCATTCTTACATGATAGACAAGGATTAATAATCCCGTGTGCAGGAAGTCAGGCCTCAGAGAACGGAGAATCAGTATTGTGTTTAACCCCACCTCAACCCCTGTATCTGACACCGTAGTCCCACTTACCCGTCTAGTCTGCGTTCATAGCGCCCCTCTCTGGTGTGGAGAGTCACCGGAGGCCCGTACACCGGCCCCACGGCGCTCCTCGAGAACCCTGCAACCTCCCTTCCGTGAGCGCTAGCGGGCGCGGCGTCCTCCAGACCGCGCACGGCGCTGGGCACCGAACCCGGCTCATTGTAATCGGTGCGAAGGTCCCTGTCCCCCATTTTGTTAACGGCGTTGTGCGCCTTCTGAGCACTTTTGATGTCGACGAAATCCACAAAGGCCGCCACGCCGCCCTCGGAGCCGCGCTTGCGCAGGACTTTGACGCTCTCCACCCGGCCATACCTGAAAGAGAGGAGCCACTGTAAACCAGGCGTCACGTGACCGGCGTCGGCCACACACACACAAATGGAAAAGTCAAAAATACAAAAACTTTGTAACTGACACCTTCATAATGATTGTTTGTTAGCCAATTTCATTACGCTTGGACGCATATTCACTCTACACCCGTCACCGTTTTCATGGATTCACGTTTTTGAAGTTTACACAGAGATAATTGCGTTTTTAAAACTCGTAACGTTACCTTGGAAACTATTTCAAAGTTTGAGTTCTCGAGCCACCAAACACTGTTGACGTGCAAATGAACGTCCAGGAACGCGTTAAGGGTTTTCTGTTAGCGCGGTGTCGAGTTAGCGGCCCCTAAGTTAATAACTAATGATCTTTGCAACGGAAGTGAATCAATCAAAACTAACTTAAGCTGGACAATAACTTTATTCTAGAGCTGCTGTAAAGCCAAAACAATCTCTGTTACTTTATTGTCACATTATCACTGTAAAGCTGCTTTGAAACAACCTATATTGTTAATAGCGCTATATAAATAAAGGTGACTTGACTACGAACGCAAAGCGATTTCCTACATTACAGTAATTCAGCTCACTCAAACAAAACACCATACTCACATGTTTATGCAGTAAAACTTTGAGTTTACTTCAGAACTATCGCGGAATGAAGTTAAACGCTAACATCAGGTTCTCGCTCTTGTTTCTGTTCCCTCGGACTGAATCGGTTTCGCTGTTAAACCGGCTCAGCCTGTTAGCAGCGAGCTAATCACCGCACACGGACACACACTCGCGGTTCTCACACTCAAACCGCGTTTTATGCGACTTTTCGTGAGGCGTAACTGTGGCGTGAACGCAGAACGGACGATTTATGTGAAAAAGACGATCGATTCCACTAAACCACCAGCAAAACATTAACTAGTAGTCACTAGTGAAGCGGTCAGCTAACTGCCTAACTTGGTCATGTTAGCGGGCTGGCGGCTCATCAGAGATCGCTTCGGTTTGTTTTTATATTTTAAATCGTGTTTGTGGCTCATTGCGGGTGTTTTAACTCGGTTTTATAGGCGTTTATTCGTTTATTTTCTGGCATCGAGCGCCGAGGCTGTTTGTGTGCGCGCGAGGCCGCGTCACTGCGCGCGCAGCTCCGCTTCTTGTGTAACTCACCGTTTAAAATGCTCCACAATCTTCTCCTCACGAACATGTTCGGGTAAATTTCCCACCCAGAGGTGTCTGGTTTCCCGAACCATCCTGTGTCGACCGTGTCCCGTTCATGCACATATGCGCTTTTGCGTCGTTTAATCTCTGACCGTGAGGTAAAATCCGCCGCGAGCTCGTGCGAGGAAAAAGATCTCGCGGCCGTGCGCGTGCAGAGCGGGAGCGCGCGAAGGAACCTTCGGTGACGAGCACCGCAACCCTGCGCGCGCCCGTCACTATGCGACATCAAAGCAAATGTCACGATGTGTCACAGCATATCAATATTACACACCAAATACTGAATATTTTGCGCAAATAATCACAGTCACAATGAGCACAAGATGGCATATATTAGTCGTTTATTTGGAGTCATATTCCTTTTACAATGGAAATAACAATGAATATGGGATATTGGTGTTACTGCTGTTGAATAAATATCTTTGGTGCTTTGCATGTTGTGCATATTACAAAAAAAGAGTGCAAAAGACTACAGTTGAT